GAACTAGGGAGGCGATTAGATAAGTGAACATAATACCCAAAAAATGCCAACGAGTTGGAAGCTGCTTTACAAGAAGTGTAGTCAACGAACTCCATATGAAACTTACTACAAATTAATAGAAAACATGTCTAGAAGGATCGAGACATGCATTTCTAGCGATGGATAGCCGACTCGATATTTTATTTCATTTTTTTTATTTACACAAAATAAATATTTTGTTGATCATCATCATTTTCGTCGAGTTTCGGATTTTTTTAATTAAAATTTTTTTAGACGTTGTGAGAGTATCAAAATTTACATGCATATTCATCAAAACCTAAGCTACATTTTGATAAAATTTTATGTGTAGTTATTATGCGCGTTTCTGTATAATAATAATTAGTAAAAACAGGTGTCCGGATACTTTTGTCCAGGGAGTGTACATGTCGTTACTGGCCAATAATGAGATGATCTTTTATTAATATCATCATACTGTTATTAATAAACATTGTATATTTTTAAATTATTAATTAACTTATGTGTCCCCAAATAAATAGACCAAATACGCTCAGTAGCTGGTTAAAAAAAATATATTTATAAATTGTTATGATGTATTCACACAAATAGTATTTACTCTCTCAAAGTGCTAAAATGACAGTTGATTGTTATCTGAATCTCGTCTGAAGAACTTCCATCGCAATCTCTTCGACCTATAGAGGTGTTCCTCTGCATTTACTCTTGATTTACAGAGTGTGATCAGGAGAAATTCGTTCAAGTGCATTTTTGCTGGTATTCTAAATCACCGGCAATACATATAAACAGGTCCGCAAACCTGCAAAAAATTCCTTCTGATGCGCGATTATTAAAAGCTATATAGTCTTCTATTGAGGCATACTTTACCATTGTAGACAAAACCTTGTGATTTTTGGTCGAGAGGATGTATAGGTAAAATGCAGTAGTCATACTTTTTGATAAAAAGCAACCTTCTCCAAAACCACAAATCTACCTCGCCGCATGACCAGCATTTTTATAAGAAAGATGGAAACCCTATGCTCGGAACTTCTCTTCATTGTCTCGTCTAGGTGCTAGTACAGACGAATTGATTCTACATGAATTCCCAGATAGGTTCGTAAACTCAAAAGGACCTATAATTCTATCGTTGTCAATGAATTCTTTGAATACTGATGTACGAGGTTCATTTGTAACGAAAGTCTTTTGATAAACCTTATTATTATATAATTCACGAACTCTCGATTGGGATGGTGATTAGTGAGCGATTTAAAATTTTCAATGTTGATAAGAGTGTTAGCTATAAATACTCCTGGGTCTAATTCCTTGAGTATATCCTCCTCTGCCTCTGTCAAAGGTATCGTTAGAGGGGTTTTTCTCATATTGTGAATTCAGATGAACTGATTCATCCGTGTTAATAATGTGCGAGGAGCATCTAGGCTCAATTCCTTCAATATAAACTGTTAGCTGTTTATAAATACTAATTGCTTACTAAATTTTTTCAGATGAGCATGGGACGATATAACTCTGCTGGTGCCAATGTGATAAGGTTGTCGTTGATATTGTTATTATCGTTGTTATCGTCGCTGTTGTTGTTGTTATTGACGTTTGTGTTTCTCTGCCATCATTGAAGTTGCTCTTGTACAGCTAATAAATTGGTATATTGATTGGTTGTCGTTGTCTGTTCAGAACAATTACCGCCATTATTTTGTTGAGAGATATGTTGATTAGTTGATTCAGGAGGTTGTCGTTGATTAGGCTGTTCGACAGAATTTTGATGAGTAGTTCGATGAATAAAAGCAGGAAAAGTGTTATCAAGAAGTGTAGTCAAATTTAGACGATCATTATTTCATTGTTTTGTTTGAGTTCATCGAAGAAAAAAATGGATAATTGAGAAATAATGCCAATACTAATACACCTTTTCCTTGATTCCCTGAGAATGTACACGAAATAAGTACTAGTGCTCTCGACGTGATGTAAATTCAAAAAATTTATTAAAAGGGACTGCATCATTGATTTTTATTGCTCGAAAATCATCTAAGAAAAAATAGATAAAAATGATGAAACTTATTTATAATTTATAAAATTCTTAATTATACTTTGATTTCTTGTCCATCAATTATTTGTTTCTATCATAAAGGTTTAAGCAAAGATCCAATGAATTATTTATTATTGAAAAAAATAAAAATAGAATTTAAATTTATTGATAAATTTGGTTTAATACTCGTAATATATCATCATCAATTATATATCCTTCTGATCGTAACTATTTCTAAATACACAAGCTAACTCTTGATCTAATTTATCCTGGTAATTTATTGGTAGATGGTCAATTATCATTAGCTCTTCAAGTGTTTTCGATTAAATCTATCAAAGTGATGCTCATAAATAATAATTCCAGAATTTTGAGGTTTGGAATGAAATAGATTTTAAAAAAGTTGAAATTGATACCAAGAACTACTATTATTACTCTAAATTTTAAAATGTTTGTATTAACGAAGAATCTAAATCATTATTACCATCAGATCAGATTTATAATCTATTATTGACTGTGAATGTTTTGAAATTGCATTTATTAATTTAATTGACAAAATTATAAAAGCTGGTTGAACAAACGGATAATTCTTTGTTCCTCAATTAATCGAGCTAAACTATCATTATTAACACTGACAGGTTAATCTATAAAATTCACTGCTATTTAGAAATATCACATTCCGATTCATCAAGCTTCTATTTGATCCACATGTTGAAAGCTTGTTGAATGATCTAAAACGAATTTTGTCCAATAATTTACCTTCTGCCAACAACAATTTTATGCAGAATGGATTTTCCTATAATGTTGAGACGTTAATATTATGCTATTTATATTAAATATAAATGTATAAAAATGTAACCAATTAAATTTTAAATACTTTAAAACTTAAAAGAATTCCAACACATTCAAAAATATCTAGAACAGCTCATATATAAATTATTAATACATTATATCACTCACTCACCACTACTGCTATTATGTAAGTATTCAAGCTTGAATTTTAGTTGCGATTTAACAATCATGCATTGTAACTAATTACCATTACTTGTATATTTAGAGATGGAAATCGAGGGACAAAATTACTCGAGTAATTCTGATCTTAATACTCCAAATACATCCGATACTATTACTAATACTAATTCAAATAGTAATAGTAATCATGTAAATTTAGAAGAATTGGTTTCTTCGCCAGTTACTATTGCAACTGCTAGTACAAGTTTACAAATGAAAAGTCCAACATCTTCACAATTCAATTCAATACGATTGAAACAAGTACAAAGCATTGATTCTTTAACTCATCATCCTTTGTTAAATAATGATGACGAGGAGGACAACAACAGTGATCTACTGATTTCTAAATGGGCAAGTCCACTTACCAGACGATCACCTTCTTCTTCATCAACTTCTTCTTCTTCTTCTTCTTTAAGATTTTTTTCGTATCCGGTATCGGTAGATTCTGTTGGTGGACAAATATTGACTAAACTTCGTGAAATGGATAAGATGTATTCTGATATCATACAATTATTAATCTCCAAAAAGGTTTGTTTGCTATGTTTTTGATGAATTGTTACTAAACTATTATAATTAAATAATGATTATAATAATTATTAGGCAACATTATTACTTCCAGCATCATCTATTATGCCATTCGAGACAATTGATAGGGATTTGTTGCAAGATCATATAATTTTCACATTACCAATAGATGAAGGTACTAAAGTAATAACAATGAGTGCAATCAGAGGATTCATTCAAAAGTATGCGTGATAGATTTTTAATATAATTTGTTGGAAAATAAATAATATTTTTTACGTATATTTATATATTTATTTAAATCATTAATAGTGAGGTTTTTAAGGCTATAGATTTAATGCCTTCAGAACATGAACTTTCCTCAACGTTTTTGGATAATCCAAAGAATCGCAGGTAGAGAGAGATTCATTTAATATTGTACTTTTAGTAACAGGTTGTTTAACAATTGGGGCATTTAATAATTATTTAAAATGATCTTTGTGATTCACAGATCAGTATTTGACTCTTTTGCAATACCAGATGATCTTGATGATGATTATCCAACCATCAAGATAACCAATAGTAATGTTGATATTTTATTACAAGGAATGACGATCCAAGCAATTGTAATAGAATCGTCACTTAAATTTAAAGAAATATCAGAGAAAATTGCCACAAAAGAAACAGCCAATAAAAAAAACATTGAACTACCTAATTTATCTGAATCATTGCTTATTGAAGTTAACAGGTTAAGATTTTTTCCAAATTTTATTATTATTATTGATTATTATTATGATACTAATATATTGTTATTGATAATAGTTTTATTGATAAATTTATAAAAGATCCACCATTAAATGAAGAGTCAACATGTGAAAAAATCCAATTATTTTATGAATTTATACATTCAGAAATTGAGAAACAGATCAATACCACTGAAAAATCAATTGATGATTCAGAGATTGAAATATTTGAAAAATTAAATGCCATCGAGAAATATGTATGTGCCACGCTATACGATAAGTAAGTTATCTCACTTATTATAAAATATATATATATATATTGACTATTGATTTATAATATATGTTAATGATTAATTAATTAATAAATTTTTTTTTTAAACTTAGTATTTTTTGTCCAAACTGGTCAAATGATAATGGTATACATGATAACTTGTTAAGTTCAAAAATAGCAGCATTAAACCTACTAGATTTAAATTTAAAACATCTTGGTGTTGATATTATTGAATCAAATCAGCAAGAATCGATTGATATGGCAGTTCAGAACGCTGGTATAGAATTACAAAATCTGAACAAGAGAAAATCTCCACTTGAAAAACTTGAAAGTCTTGTGCTATGTCATAAGATCATTGTTGGTAATTATTAATGATAAATTACTTTAAGAAAAGATAATAATAATAATAATAAATATTATAGTAGTATTCTAATGGTGTCTGTTTTAGAATCTCTTAAAAAAAGGGAAAAAAAGAATGCTATCGACTCTGTAAAAGATGTGAATTCTACAAAAGATATGGATTCTGTAAAAGATATCGAACCTGTAAAAGATGTCGAGTTTGCAAAAGATGTTGACTCCGCAAAAGATGTTGATTCCGCAAAAGATGTTCAACCGGATTAAGATCTGAGGGTTGTGAGGGTCAATTAGGTACCTTCATGAAGGCACAAAATTTTTCCTCTTCGTTTTAAGATTAAAAAAATTTTTGACAATCTTGATTTTTATAAATCCGATTTTAATTACCAATTTTTTTAATTTTATTATTAATTATCTATGCTAGCCAAAATTACCAAATTTTGTATTCATATTCTAGTTAATCTAAGCTATAAATCGATATAAATTTTATTTTTATTATTATGTAGGATTTTTATTTGTTTACACAATAAATCAAAAAAAAAAAAACAAAAAACAGATAATACGTCTATTCCAGGTGATTTTAAACAAAAAGTTCGAACAGAAACTTCAGCTGCACAAAGAGATGCATCACAAACAGCCCAAAGTGCTTACCAAAAAATCCTTAGAATCCCTAGTCTTGTTATGTCAAGTCCAGAATTTCGTGCATTACTCAATGATCTTAACTCGATTGCTCAAGAAGTAGTTAGCATAAATCTTCCAAACCAAAGTGATAATCAAAATGATAATCAAAATGATTATGATGATAATAATAACATCGTCATGCAGGGATCCCATGCTCAAGATCCTGACCAAACAAAGATGGAAATTCAACAAAATGCAAGGGAAACTGCAGACAGAACTTCACAAACATTACGGGAAAATGCCTATCCATTAGCCAAGAATGCTGCAAACATTGGTGGCGAACATATTAAAGATTTTAGTGAAGGCAAAAAATCGTTAAAAGAAGCTACCACTGGTGGTGTAAAATCATTACAATCTTCTGTTCAACAAAATGTCTCCGTTCGTAAACTTAGCGATGAAGAACGTGATCGATTGGTGAATCGCTTTAAAAATGTCATGATTGAAGCACACAAAAATCAACAGTATCAAGACGCAATTAGTGAATTAATGGATTTGATCTCCCAACTTTCACAACAAACTCAAGAACTTACTCAACATTTATCTGATAATTTGGCTGTCCCTCGAGAAGAAATAAATAAAAATGATTCCATACAAATTGCCACTAAAAATGCCAAAGATATTGTTGAGAAATTTGCTAATCAATCGCTCGATCCTTTGATTGATTCAATCAGAGAATTTGGTAGACAAATGAAAAATGATCAAGAGTTACGTGATTATTTCAAAGAAGTTCGACAATTTATTGGCAGTTCACTTCACGACACTGAATTCGTACAGAATACAGATTACACACAGTTTGGATCAGAATTGATTACCACTGGTAGACAAATTTTGTTAGAGAAATATCGTGAACAAAGTGAAAATGTTCGAAGACAAGCTAATTCCTTCAATGAAGCAATCCAAAACGATCCAACTACTGCTCAGTGGAGAAGAGACTTCGATAATTTGATTACTGATCTTTTCTTGGATGAAAGTGGAAGTCCAACAATTAAATATGAGCTCATTAAAGATGCTGCAAAAATCATCCCTGTTATTACCACTCAGTTGCAATATTTACCACTTCCAAGAATTGAAAATTCAGATGATGAATATGATTTCGCTTTTGATAATATGGTTCTTCACTTACCAGAAATTTTACCAAGTCATGCTCACCTCAGCTTAACATCAGATATTAATCTAGATCGTGAATCCACCAGTCTAATAAAAAATTATGCCTTCTTTGAAGTGTATGTAATTACTATTCGTCGTTAATCGTTAATTTTTTTTAATCAATCGATTTCAACTAATTTATTTATTTTATTCCTGTTTAAATAAATTAGTTCTAAAATCCGTGCTGATGCACGTAACATTGCATTTTATTACAAGAAGAAGAAAGGAGTGATCAATATGAATGATTTAGGATTAGTCGACTTTTCCATTCCAAATAATGGTTTAAGGTTTTATCTAAAATTATTGTTAGAAGCGCCAACAAAAGACCATCCAAATCTTCGATTCAATGTATTAGAAGCAGAAACTACCATTGAAAGCCTCAAACTTCGTATACACCAATCAAAACATGAGTAAGTGATGTGTATTTTTTTAATCTGGGAAAAAGAGAATTATTTTTTCTGATGAATATGCATATTTTTTATTTTTGTAGTGTCTTGTATAAAATTTTAACTCCATTGGCTCAGAACAAGATTAAAAAGCAACTTGAAGCCACAATTACCGAAAAATTGAAAGAAGCTGTTCAACTTTTACAAGATAGTATTCAACGACTTCAAGTTCAAGTTTCAAAACTTCGACAAAAATCCAATATTAATTCCAATATTAGTAATCTAACCAGTAATATCAATACCAATATTAAAGGTCTAGCAAATAAGGACATCATTGGCAACGCCGCTAATATTCTTACTGGCGGAAATTCCAACAACAACAATAATAATACGGGACATGATCAAAATAAAGAAACTTGGCGAACGAAACCAATTGATCCAGCAGATAATTATTATAATATTCCCATTAATAATAATAATAAAACAGACGTACCACCACGTAAAGTATCACCACATGATACAACACCTCAATATCAACCTTTGGAAGAATAATTAAAGCGACAATAGTTTTTGCTAAATAAATATTTTTTTATTATATTATAATTAATTTATTATATTATATAATTAATTTTTATTATATATATATTATATAATCTTCGCTATTATAATATGTTTAAAAATTATATATTTTATCAATTCAATCATGTAATACCTAAAAAAAATTTAAAATATATAAATAATTAAAAAATTTTTTTTTTTTTAAATCAATGTTCTTGATTTATAATTGTATATAATATTATATATAGTATATTAATATGTCTATCTATACAGTAGTCCCAAGGGGAGATAAATGGATGTTCTATTGTGAATTTGACCTGTTTGTGGCTAGCAAGTTCAAGTTGGGTCTTGTTTGTGTGACTCGTATTGCTTGACCCCTTGATAGGCTATCAGCAGTTAGTGTCCTCTTTGGCATCTACATACTCCAATCTCAAAAGAGTGTATAGATTGTTGAGCAAAAAACCATATTTATCATATTACGTACAAATGTGTTGCTTCAAGCCCCTCCTCCTAATGCTACAATGTTTGGCTGTGATTCTCCTCCTAATGCTATAATGTTTAGCTGTGAGTTTGTATGGATGATGAATCTCCGTCTAGGCCAGAAGTTACTAAACGTTTTCACGGAAACGCACAACACATATTAGTACATTCCTTAATAACTTGTATATTATTTCTAAATTCGTCTCAGAATTTCCCGTGTAAAAGTTCCCATATGTAATACCCACCTATCCACAAGGAGGAAGTATCTATGTAAAAATTGTCTAATGATGAGTGACCATTTTGTTTCTTCAAACAAATATATATTCCATTCCATTGTTTCAGCGTGGATATCCACCAGCCTAATTCACCTTTTTATTTCAAATGTGATAATAATTCTGTTGTTACTACCGACTTCCCAACGGTTTCTTGTTCAATGCTTGGAGAAATAGTCTTCTTTGTGGAAAAAGTTGACATGCCCAAAAACTCCAACCAAGGATTGATCCAAGTTGACTTAAGAATTCTTTAAAACACACGTATCATTTCTAATTTCTTGTCTGACGGAATAGATGTATACATATTTTTAGTATTGATAGTATTCCAAGATACACCAACTCCACTACGGGACCAATCGCTTTTGATTATTTGAATGGAACACCCAATAATATCAACATGGTTGTAATAATAAAATAAGTTAGTTTATTATTCTGATTACTATTTTTGAAAACGGTAATTTACTTAGCAGATTTGTGGTTTTTTGATATTTACTTATTTCGCCTAATGTTGCAGCATCAGAGTTGTGCCTTCATGGTCTGATATGATAAACTCTTCGGCTTTTTTACCATAAATAAAGAATTACTTCTCTCAAAAATCTCTTATCAACAATTACCATTATCACTCATTACCATTATCATTCATTCTATTACCATCATTACTCATTTTATTATCAAACCCTGTAAATGTTGATTGCTTGGTCCCAAAATATAAAACGAATAAATTAATAAATAGAATGTCTTTAAAATATTTACGACATCATTGACACCATTGTTATCCTATAATAGGGGAATGTGATTAATATAAAAGTTAGATTTTTAGAAACGTATAACAAGCAATTGATAAGCAGAAGTTTTTGTTTAAACTTACTATTTCTTCAACGAAATGTTTTATATATTCTATTCCATTTTTCTTAATTTCACTGTTATTGTCAATTGCTCTATTAATAGTGTCCATTTCTAAATTAAATCATTTTTAATAGATTCTTTCATGACGTTAAACATATTGTAAAATTTTTTTGTTCATTTTCTTTCTGGAAACGTATGCATTTTCTCCTTTTGTTTTCTGTGTTCCAAAAACATGATTTTTAATTTGTTCTTATGAGACATGCCTAAATACTTGCCTACGCTCTTCTCTTGCTCTACGAAGTTCTGCAAATTTTAGTCTTCTAATTCTTCTTTTCTCCATTTTATTTTTATTTTTATTTTTAACACTAATATAAGATTGAACTATGCAACTTCTTTCCTTATTTGCATTTCTCTCGTCAAGATCAATTTTTAGAAATAAATTAAAAAAGTATGTTAAAAATCATGAAATCTAGGTGTTTGATTTAAAAAAGTGTAATTGTCTTTGATATGGTAACTATCATGTTCCCTTGGCCATATACACTCCCTGGACAAAAGTATCCGGACACCTGTTTTTACTAATTACACAAAAACACGCATAATTACTACATATAAAATTTTATCAAAATGTAGCTTAGGTTTTGATGAATATGCATGTAAATTTTGATACTCAAAACATCTAAAAAAATTTTAATTAAAATAATCCGAAATTCGACGAAAATTGCAATATCAATTTTTGTTTCTCAAATTTACTCAAAATCCTACATAATAATAAAAATAAAATTTATATCGATTTATAGCTTAGATTAACTAGAATATGAATACAGAATTTTGTAATTTTGGCTAGCATAGATAATTAATAATAAAATTAAACAATTGGTAATTAAAATCGGATTTATAAAAATCAAGGTTGTCAATTTTTTTTAATCTTAAAAACGTAAAAATGCAAAAAAACGAAGAGGAAAAATTTTGTGCCTTCATGAAGGTACCTAATTGACCCTCGCAATCCTCAGATCTTAATCCAGTTGAACATCTTTGGAGTGAACTAGGGAGGCGATTAGATAAGTGAACATAATACCCAAAAAATGCCAACGAGTTGGAAGCTGCTTTACAAGAAGTCTAGTCAACGAACTCCATATGAAACTTACTACAAATTAATACAAAACATGTCTAGAAGGATTGTGAAATGCATTTCTAGCGATGGATGGCCAACTTGATATTAATATTAAGTTTTATTTATTTATATTTGAACACACAAAATAAATATTTTGTTGATCATCATCATTTTCGTCGAGTTTCGGATTTTTTTAACTAAAATTTTTTTAGACGTTTTGAGAATATCAAAATTTACATGCAATTCATCAAAACCTAAGCTACATTTTGATAAAATTTTATGTGTAGTTATTATGCGCGTTTTTGTATAATTAGTAAAAACAGGTGTCCGGATACTTTTGTCCAGGGAGTGTATGTGATAGATTTCAAAGTCGCCACATAAAGTATGTCAGAGTTAGATTACTCGAACTATAATACAGTACCAATTAATATTAATATTGAGAAGAAGAATGATAAATTCCGTTATATTTGTTTAATTAAACATTTATCAAAAATGAATATTAAATTGTTTGAATTAGTCTACTTTGTCTTACATATCGTGCATCCATTCGATTGATTGAAATATCTATTACCTTTCACTATGTTTTATATCTTTTACGCTCAACTATATAAAAACCTTTTCTCAAATAAAAAATTCTGGGGCAGTGCATAGCAACGCGTAGCAAAGCAAAGTGAATAAAGGATTGGTGATACAGCAAATTTTGGTTTTTATTATTATTCTTCAATTAAAACAAGATTTACTGGAATGCGTCTGTGATATTTATAGCCCTTTATAGCGTATATAGCGTTAATCCTTTACTGTAAGCATCAATAAATTTCCAAGAGTGTCTTGCATGTTTCTAATGATACACAGTCATAACTGTTTTTTCTAATCCTTTAAAAATGTAAACGCGGTTATTTCACTCCCCAAAAAATGCTCAATGAAATTAAGTTCGCGGTGAAACTTGGAAAAAAATAACTTTGCGTCCATGCTTTTCAACAACTTCTTGAATTAAAGGACCCGCCCGAGGAAGCAAAATCTGGCTGTAAAGACATAACACGTACAGCACAACAGTCTTTTTCTTGTTAATGAATGTTTTTTACAGTCTATACATATACGAATATTTTCCAACGTGTAATCTTAATTTTAGATTTGGCCACATTTAGAACTCTCTCACATTAAAGCTAGAGACTAATCTACCGAGACGGGTAAAAAAATAAATTTAAACTTTCGTTAGATGTACAGTTTTATCGAAAGTTTGAGCATTATTAACTAAAGCTGTACATCTTAATAAATGTTTAACCGAAATCAAATTTGGGTGCAATTAAATTTAAAACATAGAGTAATACTTGAATTCTATACAAAATTAAGACCGTGTAATAGAAACATCTTACCCACTATGAGATCTTTATTCACGCATGCTTATCGCCGATGTATTCTTTGATTATATCTCCATTATGAAATTCTGAAGGAAATTTCGAATACATTCTACAAGATCTTTCCTGTGTCATATTTTAATGATTCCACAAAAGTCTACATATAAAAATAAACGAACTAGAGATTGGATTATCTTAGTCGACCATTTAATCAACTATTTTAGTCGTTTATTCATGAAAAAATTTCAAAATATCTATCCCTACACAAAACTATGTGCTGGACTACCTCCTTTTTGCAAAGGTCCTCCTCATCTTAAATCACTATTTAAATCATTGGAACCCAGAGTAAATGAATTACTAGGACCCGAAACAAGGATCCGAAGCAAAGGAATTGTTAGACCTTATTATTATATCAGAAGTATTTACATAAAATTACCATCAACAAACATTGGGAATCGTCATTGGTAAATATATTTATTATTATGAAAAAACGATGATCCTAACCATCTAACAACAATTATAATAATAAAGATTGTTAGGACTACCGGTTAAATCAATCCCCTAGGTCTTGGACTTGTTTGGACTGGACCATTAACATCCCTATCTACCCTAGGTAACAAGAATGAGAAAATGATTAATTTTTTGTAAAACCAGGTACAATAGGTCAGCTTACATACCATGTGATATATATATATAAATAAACAAATTGAAATCAACAAATTTTCACAAATGACAACTTCATACTCAAATCAAGAGCAAGAGCAGTCTTTAAAACAAGAAGTTATAACAAAAAAAACCCATTATCATGATAAACAGAGTGTAGGTTATATAATACGTTCAGGATTAGCAGGTGGTATAGCAGGCAGCGTGGTATGTATTTTTAATAATAAATAAAATATAATGTAGTTTTATGAGCATTAAAAATAAATCTTGCATATATTATATATATTATGACATAGGCAAAAACAGTGATTGCACCCTTAGATAGAGTAAAGATTCTTTTTCAAGCCAGCAATCCACATTTTCAAAAATATGCAGGTATTTTCAAAAATAGCGTGTAATAGAAGTAAACGAATAAACATATCTAAATAACCATCTATTTACAAATTAAATTAACAAAGATGGTTTTTAATTTCAAACAAGTTGAGAATTTGAAAAACTTTTTTAATGTCTACTTTTTTTTATACTCCATATGCCACTTTCTATTTTTAAATAATATAAATATATATATGTATATATAGGATCATGGGTAGGAGTATTTCAAGCAACCAAAAAAATATACAATGAAGGTGGTCCAAAAGGTTTGTTACAAGGTCATTCTGCAACCATTCTAAGAATTTTTCCATATGCTGCAATAAAGTTTGTAGCATATGAACAATTTCGTCATGTATAGTAACAAATTCATCAAGATTTTTTTTTTTGATTTAATTATTATTATAATTGATTTATTTAATGATTTATTTTTCTTTTTCCCAAAAAAAAAAACCACTATTGTTATATTAGATTTTAATGCCAACTAGAGAGCTTGAAACGTCAACTAAACATTTATTAGCTGGATCTTTAGCTGGTACTTCCTTTATTTTTTTACCATTACTATAAATATATAAATATACATGTATATAATTTCCTCCCTAAAAATAAATAAATAAATCTTAGGTGTCACATCAGTATTGTTTACATATCCACTTGAACTTTTAAGAGTTCGATTAGCATTCGAGGTTAAGAAAGACAAATCTTTTGGAATGATGTCAATATGTAAACAGATATGGAACGAAGGTGCAGCATCATCACGTCTACAATTCTTTCATTTTCCAATAATAAATTTTTATCGAGGAATAATCCCTACAATAATGGGTATAATACCGTATGCGGGTGTATCATTCTGGACACATTATGAATTGACTGAATTTTGCATATCAAAGTTTGGAAAACTTACAACCGAACCATCATTGGTGATTGGGAAGTTGGATAGTAGGGGACAGAAAAGGAGGGTACCATTAAAAACATGGGCTGAATTGACAGTTGGGGGATTGGCAGGAGCAATATCACAAACTGCAGGATATCCATTAGAGGTTATTAGACGTAGAATGCAAGTTTATGGTGCAATTGATTCAACTAGATTTGTTGGTCTTTTATATACTGCTAAAACTATTTGGAAAACAAATGGGTTCAGGGGTTTTTTCGTTGGATTAAGCATTGGGTATTTGAAGGTGACGCCCATGGTGGCAGTATCTTTTACAGTTTATAGTAGAATGAAAATAATATTAAATATTGATTAACATATTAAAAACAATAATAATAAGTGTAATAAGTGAGAAACGTAGAATCAAAGTGCTGAGATTATGAGTAAATTTATAGGCAATTATTTTATGTCTACATTAATATTATTAATATTATTAATATTATTTATCTTAACATTATATATTCAATTAATTAATTAAATCGAATAAAAAGAAACTAATAAAGTATCTGCAAAAATTCATTCAACAACAATATTGATAACAATATTAATAGAAAATATTATTCATCTATTTTTCTTTCATAGAACCAATTAATAAGCGATTCATATAATGTCCAATTAATAACAGCCTGTACAGTTTTCTTGCTTAATCTAAGGCTCATCCCGTCAAATAATCTCAGAAATCCTTCTTCTCTTATAATTTTATTGGCTCCGTAAAACAAATTTTTGTATTCGATTGGTTTTAATTGTAAACGAGTTTTTAACATGTCAAACGGATGTGTTATCATTGTTGCTGATAATCCTGCTATAATTGCTACATTACATAAGAGTTTTATAAAATAAATTAATAGAGTAATTATAATTATCATTATACAAGTATATTTGCAAGTCAATTACCAGATGTCATATGGATTGTAGGTTTTGGTATATTTATGGATGATAAGGATGATACGTTAGCTAATAAATTAAATAATAAATTTAATAATAATGTCCATTTTGATGTTTTTAGACGAATTAATTATTAAGTAAAGTAAAATCACCTATCAATAATTTACATCTTTCATAAAATAAAACATATAATCCTGAATATGGAGCATCTCTTATTACTGTTGAACCAGATCCATAAAATAAACCTAAGAGAGAAATGACATGTGTAAATAATAACTTATGTTATATAATATCATTATCATCATTGTCGTTTTTTACCTTTTATTCCTTCATTCTTCACAATAGAAGTAAATGCACCCAATACACTCTTATAAGCATAAAGATTACTCTATGATACTCGAATAAAGAAAATTTTAAGTTAATTTTTAAAGATTTGTAATATCTATTTATTCCAATTATTATATGTAAACCACACATACCTCATACCTAATTTTGATTACAGTGATTGGCATCATTACAAATCCAACAGAACCTCTGGCAAACATGCCAGCAATCATGTTATCTCTATTTGACAAAATAGGCAATGATGATCCAGTAGATGACATTTTGCCACTCCCATAACTGTCAACAGCATTATGTTGTTGATTAAATTGTCGACTTTGTTGACTTTTTGATAACAAATAACGAACTTCTGATAATGTAAGGAAATACAATGAAGTTCCAGGGACATTTCTGATTATTGTATTTTTTTTATAAAGAAGGAAACTTGTAAATATGTATATATAATAGAAATAATAATAAATATCTGCGCGCACGCACACACCTTATAATTGTTGGAATAGTTCCTCGCCATAAGCCTATCACCGAATCTTGACGGATTATATTTATTACAGTATTTAAAAGGACGCTTTGAAAAAAAAATTAAATCACTCAGTTTAAAGTATTATCGATTTATAGATCTTATCATTATTATACCTATTACTATTGTAAGAAGAAGTAGCATTTTTAATAATTTGTGGATTTTTAAGAGAATATTGTTGAAGCCTGGTTTTAACTAAATCAAAAGGCTGTAATAATACACAAGAAGCAAAACCTGATAGTGCACCAGAAGTTAAATGAGCAATTGGATTTTGATTTTTTTTATTCATTTTTTTCCAACTTTTTACTTGTTATGATATTTTATTAAATATTTATTAACCAAATAAACCAAGATTATCATTTTGCTTTGTTTGTTATGTCACGTGACTGATTTTCATATAAAGCATTCAGAATAATCTTAATTTGAATCATTGATCCTCGGTGTTTTTGTGAACGCCAATAATTCTAAATATGCTGTGTTTGGGTACATTATTTTTATAAATGCTGATAATTGCGTCGTCTTTTCTCTTAAAACTTTTCAAAGGACTTGTTCAAAAAGTTATTCTTGTTTACAAAAAAACTCCATTTATTCAAAGACGTGTGTTATCATACGTCAAAGATTATTATGTACGTTTTTCGACAATTGATTGTGTTTTATTTTTTTTGAAGCGAGATATACTTTGTCAAAAGAATTTCGGTCAAAGTTTAATAATTTTCGGAACCTAAGCTACGAAATGATATTATTTATTGATTTTTTATTGTGTGAAATCATTGTTTAAAAATGCGCGCTACTTTTGTGGTGTATTTGGTTTAAACCGTTGAAATGGTTCGAATATTTGATTCAAAATTTTTGATAGTTATGTTCCAATTCGAATGTAATATTTGGAAATAGGGCATTTCAGGAAATGTTACATTGAATTTCGGGTAAATTTTAATAATGCATTTAACATTAAGACGCCCTTTTGATGAAGCTTATATATAATCAGCATGTAGAAGGAAATGGGAGTGAAAAAAAAGAAATATATCCAGGATACACTAACATCAATAAAATTTTCTTCATGCATTGGTTTTTGTGATAATAAGCATAAAGCATATATTGAACGTGTCCAACTTATTGTTATTCATGACTATGCACCTCCAGTCATCACGAATTAGCTCGTCGATTATTACTCCCTTCAGTTTTCTATAGCGAGTGTGAATTCTCCATTCCCAATAATCATTAATTATTAATGGTATTGATATTGAAAATATTATTCTAATAGTGTCGCTTTATTATAAAAATGACAATTATCATTCCTCTATATTTCATGTTGAGTTGTTTACCTCCTCAGTTTAATTGTTTGATCAAGATATCGTAAACGATCAATTGAAAGTAATTTGGGGAAAAGCATTAAAAATCAATACAATAATATTCAATGGTCTACGAAACCGTCTTAATCAATTGGTGGGTGGAACACACTCTAGTTGATAAAGATGTAAAAACGTTGAAAATCGATAAAGTAGGAATATTTCAACAAAACCTGGTCGTAATTAATCAAAATGCACATAAGCAGCTTGAATTTTTCCACAAATAAAAGAAAATAATCACAACAAACTTTGGCTTGAGACTTGATAAACACATATCAAATCAAACCCTAAACCATTCACTGATAAAGGTTATTCACTCAATTTACTTTGTTGCCATCAGTCATTTCACTTTTCCATCCATAATTGAGTTACAATTTTCCAAAGATGATTTTACTATTAAACCCCAAATACAGATTGTTCATGCATGAAATTCAGATTATGTTATATAGATAAATTCGTTAACAGTGCAAAAATTCAAGATTTAAATAAAAGGTGTTTATTCTGGTCATAATCAGGTTCATTCAAGCATTCCAATAAATATTATAAAAATAACAACGATAACCAGAATACAATAGTAATAATTAGAATAACGATTTGATTTTTATAACTGTTCACCTTCTAACGGCAGCAACAATAGTATTATTAATAATTAATGTAGTAGATGCTTATTGCCATAATATTAATAATTTATTTCCTTAATTGGATTTTTCCTTTTTCCCTGCCGGTTAAATTGGTTTGTTGTTATTTCTATTTAAATAAAAACAACCTTTGGAATTTTTTAAAATTAAAATCGAAGATCTTGATAAAATGAAAATGATTTTATTTATGGACGATCCAATGTGTAAATTGTTGTTACTATATTAAGGATAGGTTTGCATTGAAATCGTGAATATGAATACAAAAATCGATCTATTACTATCGTTAAATTAAATATTCGATTTTCAGTTCAAATTCCATTTTCCAATTTTCAAAAAAATTTTTTTTCATAAAAAAATGTTGTCTTTAGTTTTCGGTAAAATATCCGCTGAAATACCTGAACATCAAGTTTTAAAAACCACCCCCCAATATGAAATTCGCAAATATCCAGCTTGTATCAGGGCAGAAGTCGAATATGAAGGTGATATGACTAGTGCAAGTGGTGGATTTCGCATATTAGCCGATTACATTTTTGGTAAAAATATTAAAAGTGATGGTGAAAATAACGACGAACAACAAAATAAAATTAATATGGTAATAAAAAATTTATTTTTTTACAGAAAGGAAATAAAAATATAATAAATTAACTAACTAACTAACGAATTAAAATATATTAGACTGCACCAGTTTTGACTGAATTAGATAAAGAAGAAATCGCAATGGTAAATATTAATGATATGATGATGATTAACGATTTCATTGAAAAATTTTCTATTCTTCCAACACAATTAATTGATATTTTGCTTCAATAATTAGACTGCGCCAGTTTTAACTAAAGTACAAACAAATATTCAACAAGTTGAAATGGTAAATTAGCAAATAAAAATACACTCAGTTATAATGTGACTCATTTTGTGCAAAGTAATAATTAATATTAACAATAATGAATTATTGATGTTGTAAAGACAGCACCGGTAGTTACCACCGAATCCAACAACGCATCATCATCAGATTCTGAAAAGAAAAAATGTATAATGTCGTTTACGATGCCTTCAAAATATAAGAATATTTCTGATTTGCCGACGCCAGTGGATAAAAGGATAAAGCTTGTCAAAGTACCCGAGAAAGTTTATGCTGTAGAAAAATTTTCAGGACTTACTTGGGAATCGGTTGTGGAACAAAAACAAAAAGAATTGATAAAACTTTTAAAGACTAGTGATCCTGATGTTAAGGTTGATGAAGATGCAAAACCTGTCCTGGCTAGATATAATCCACCAGTATGTGTAATAATATTAATATGCTAATATTTTTATAATAATAATAATAATAATAATAATAATAATAATAAATTTCTTTCTTTTACATGTGATGTTTTTGTAGTTTACAATACCATTCCTTCGTACAAATGAAATCATGATACCTGTTGGTTATTTAAAATAATAGTTTTGTTTAAAAAAAAAAAGTCACTACTACATGTAATTTTATAAAGTCACGTGAAATTATCATTCATGTGATTTTATATAATAATAAATAAATAAAATTTTTTAACTTCGAGAGAAAATTAAAAATGTCCTTGATGCAAGAAAATAAAAATTCTTCTACAAGGAAATATAGACAAAAAAATAATTTGAAAAATAATAGTTCTGGAAAAAAAATTTCTAGCAGCGAAAATGAAAAACCCCGAAAATTAACTCAAAAACAAATATATCTTAAACAAAATCTTGAAAAACTTAAAGAATATGAAGAATTGATAACAGAATGGCAAGAAAAGTTATTTGAAACAGTTCATATGGAAATTTTACGTGATGCAGTAAAGTTTTTTTTTTTTTGAAAACAACTAAATATAATTATTTATTTATTTATTATTAAAGGCGTGAATATAATATCCTATTTATATCTTTATAGGCAAAATATATGTCCCCACATCATTATCAAGAAGTTATTGAAGAAAGAAATGCAGATAAATTGTGTGGATATCCAATATGTGACAAAAAATGTCAAGTAAATAATTTATATATTTATGTCATTTATATCTGCTAGATATTTATTAGATATTTATTATTATTTTTTTTAAAGGAAATTAAAGGACAATTTAGAATTTCTAATCAAACAAGAAAAATATACGATATAACAGAATTAAAATGTTTTTGTTCAAAGACATGTTATACATCATCTAAATATTATGAAAAACAGTTATCCGTGGAACCAATTTATATGAGAAACTTGGAAGTATGGAGGGAGGAACATATTGATATTTTACCATTAAATGTTGATATTAGGTAATTGTTGTAAATATTCCAGTTAGATTTTTATTTTCTCATTTCATTAACAAGTATAATTTTATTTTGTTAATTAATTTGATGAAAAGTTTTAATTAATTAATTATACAATTAATTAAAAATATTCAGTAATATTATCAAGGGAAAATCTTCTTCTTTAACAACTAATAATAACAAAAATAGTAGCACTGGTTCATATGTTAAACATATACTTTCTAATTTACCACCTGCTCCTCCTGGCTTGACAATCAAAGAAAATGACAATAATAATAATAATAATAATCCACCAGATCCATCAATTCCTGCTGATACAGAATTTTTTTATGATGCTATTGAAGGATTTCGTATTGATTACAATAAAAAAAGCAGAACTGATGATGGTGATGGCGAGAAACCCAAAACAACATTTTTATTACAAAAAAGTGAAAAAATTAGCAAAAATGATGCAAATCAAAAAACAAAAGTTGGAGAAGGAGAAGAAGAAGAAAAATCATATGAACTAGCAATGTCAATTGCTAATTCATTGTTTATAGATGGAAAGTTTCATTATTCTGATGATGAGAAAGAAGAAAATCAAGATCATAAAAATCATAATTTAAATCCTAATAGTAAAAACAATAACAATAACATCATTAACAATGACAACAACAGTAATAATAATAATAATAATGACAATAATAACAATAATAACAACAACAATAATAGTAATAATAAAGATATTCAAAAAAATATGCAAAAATTAGAACCACAGAATACATCAAAAGATGATACTATGATTAATAATAAAAAGACTCCCCAAGAAGAAAAACCTTTAACACCCCAGAAAAAAGTTCAAAAAAAGAAGAGAACTGTAGTAACTGAGATGTCATTATTTGGAAAAATTTGGACAGCTTTAGATCGAATGACATCTAAAAATACAAGACAATATTTTGTTAATGCTAATAAATATTTTTTAGATGAAAATCAAAAATTTGAAAATAATAGAATTAATAATAATAATGAAGATTTTAGGTTAAATTATGAAATTGATGAGGTGAAACTTATGAGAATAAATATCTTTACTGTAAAGATTATGGAATGGTATTTTTAATCTGTTTTATATCAAGTAATTATTTTTTAAGATTATTTCCTTTTGTCATAAAACTAATAAAAAAATTTTTTAATAATGGTTTTTTTTTAGTTTTAAAACACTTAAAGAACATCTGCATATCACCATTAGTGTTGAAAGAGAGCTTATTGATCTAATGAGCACCTTTAAATATGATACAACATCCGTGGTAATGAGTGATTTAGAAAATAATATTTTATGTACGATTTTTATTTATGCGTAAGTAATTAATCAATTAATTGATTTGAAATACTGGAAACGATTCATTCAAAACAGATTACTAATAGTAAAAAGCAACTTAATATTGATAATTATAGATTGGCTCATGATATTCCACAATTACATGAAAATATATTTCCATCTAAAAAATCATCACCAGATGATTGTTTTGATAGCAAGGAAAAATTTAAAAATTTACTTGGAAATATGAATCTTACAATTGAAGAATTAGATGCATTTGTAAGAGTACTTCGTATTGGTTCAACATAAAAGTTGATTATGATGGTTAGATTGGTTTTTTAATAAATTTATTTATTTATTTGAATATCGTGGACATTAAACACGCATTGACAAATAATTTATTGTTGTAAAAAAAAATTATGAATTTGATGAATTTGTATGTACTTTGGCAATTTTACTTAATATAGAATTCTTACTGTACAACATTTCTTGCTAAAATAGAATTATCATTTTAGAATTCGTTTTATTCACTTGAATTAGTAGTATTAGTATTTCGTTTCACACATTTGTTTGTTCTCTGTTTTATTCATAATGTCAAATTTTTTGACAATTAAACGTTCAAATGATATCAAATATGATGTTATAATTGAAGTTGATGGGCATGGTGAAGGTTTAGGAGTTTTTAAGGGAGTTTCTGATAATTTAAAAAAAGAGTCAACATATTTTAATTCAATGACATTCGAAAAAGATAAAAAAATTAAAATTAAAAATGAAAACAATGTTAATTTATCGGTTTACAAAAATATTTTCAAGTAGGTTTAATTAATTTATTAATTAATTAAATGTTTAACTTTTTTTTATTATTATTAAAAATAAATTAATTTAAATAATTAGATATATTAATGATGAGGTTGAATTGAAATTAAAAAAATTTACATCAAAAGAATGTTTCGATTTACTCATTATTTATAAAGAATTTGATCTTAAAGATGACAATAACGAATTAATTGATAAATTACAAAATCACATTATTGAAAAATTTAGAGAGTATATTGAAGAAAATATTTTTTTAACTTCTGAAACAATTTTTTTGTCAGAGAAATTTAAAAAATTACAAAATTATTGGTCGGATTTAATATGCGCATTCCCTTCTCAATTATTATTTGATAATTCATCTAGGGAGAAAAATTTTACAAGTTTGCCAGAATCAGCAATTTTATTATTATTAAACAGAAATGATTTTGGTGTTGACGAAGTGAATATTTGGAAAAATATTATAAATTGGGCAATATCAAAGCATTCTGAACCTACTACTTTCAGTAAGAAAAGTGTTGAAGCTTATACTACAGAAGATTTTGACTTTTTAAAAACCAAATTGGAAAAATTCATTCCTTTAATTAGATTTTATACAATGACTTCAACAGAATTTTTTAATAGTGTTTTACCATATGAACAGATGCTCAGTCCTGAATTATTTCAAGATTTAATGAAATTTTATTTAGTTAGGAATTATAAAAACACAAAGATTCAAGAGTCTTCTGCTGATACCAATTATTATAATAAACGAGTTGTTAGAGATGATGTTATTGATTATAAAAAATCAAAGAGAAAATCTAAAATTTTTAAAATAAAATTATAAATCTATCATTTTTATTTATTATTACCATTACTATGAAATTAATTACCCATGTATTGAAATAACTCTCGCGGGAATTGATGTTGTTTTCATTTGAAGAAATTGACATCCAAGGTATGAGAAAAGAAATGTAACCCCAGAAGAAGGCTTAGCATTACTTATTGATGTCGATCGTTTACTGTAATTCAATTCAACCAATCTGGTCATAGCAGCTGATGGCATTTAAATCGATGATCCTTAATTTCAAAGGTATAGAAAAAAAAAATCAATTTATTTATAGATGTTATTATTATGCATCACAGATTAAGGGTTACACGGATTTTTTTAATTTTAGCCGTTCGATACTCGGGATTGAAAAGGTTAGAAAATATTCAATTTGAGGTAGGTTCATATCCTCCACGGACTGGAGTATATACCTCTGGCTGGCATTTTCTAATAAATGGCTAAATGATGATAAATGTTAATATAAAGAGACCGTTAAAATTCTTGCAAATTTTTAAAGAGAATATTCTTCATTCCTTACTAAACATGTGAAATAAATAAGCGATAATAATTTGTCAGAGGTTATGATCGTGTAAATTTGCTAGAAAAATCAAAAAAAAGGGGTGTTTGTTATTATAACGTTTGTTTACTAATGTTTGTGTAACTTCTACCACACAGACTTGAGTTTTTTGATTATCTACTATATAAAAAAAATTAAAAAAAAAACTAAAATTGAAAAAAATACAAGTATACTTATAACTAATATGATGTTTAATTAATTTTGAATTAAATTTTTTTATTAAAAGATATTCGCGTTTTATGTAATTTTAAATAAATTCGTTTATTTTGCAAGTCAAAGTTCATCATAAATTTTATGTTTAAAAAAGCTGCAACTTTCTTTTCAAATTGACAAATTGAAAAAAAAATGCTTTTCTCGTAGCACACACCAATATTTTTTTTTTGCCGTGATGGTTCTAATTCATTGTTAAAAAAAAATAATAATTAAAATAATAACTGTATACAATAATAATATATATTATTACATTATATATATATTAAGAGTACATACGAAATTGTAAATTCATGCAAAAAAAAAGAAAATCTTTTTTTTTTTTCGTAAATTTTGCATAAATTTATATATTTGACAGACAATATAGACAATACGTACAAAAAAAAGCTAAAAAAAAGTTTGCCATGAAGTCTATTAAAAGAGTTTATGAGGAAGATTCAGACACTTCTTCACTTAGCAGTAACCTTCTGACCGAAACTGAAGACTCATTAAGTGAGGGAGAAGCTAGTAGCACTAGTAGTCTTAGTAGCATTGGCAGCCTTAGCAGTCTTAGCAGTCTTAGTAGCAGTAATATTAGTAGTAATAGTTTTAATGGTAGTAGAATAGGTAATAGTAATAATTATAGTAATTCTAATATAAATAATGAAATAGATAATAGAGTTAGTGTTAGAATTAATAATTCCAATGCTATTGCTGGTGCAAATAATTATGACATTAATCCTAAAGTTGTTATATGTAATGACAATAATAGCAGTATTATTAGGCATATTAGAAATATTGGTAATAGAAATAGAAATATCATTAATAAAAATACAAATACAAACACAAATAATAATAATAATAATGATTATAGAGGTTCAATTAATTCAATTAGAAGAAGTACAAGGATTATCAGAAATACTACAATTAATAACAACAATGTGACAATTACCAGTAATAAAAATATAAAAGTTACAAAAGCAAACAAAAAAATCAATAATATAAAATCAAAAAAATTATCCAACAAACCTGCTGCTGAAAAACAAAAACAACTTTTATCCAAAAATAATAATAATAAGCAACAACAGCAGCCAGAAACAAAACTATGTGAATCATGTAAAATATTGCATTTGAATGTGCAAAAAGTTGGTAGTCTTGATTTATGCTTGTATTGTCGATCATTATTTGATGATGATATTGAATTTCGTTCTCGACGTGCTCAATATGGTTTTGAGTTGTATAAACGTGTTAAAGTGTTTTATAGTGATGGTGGATGGTATTCAGCTACTATGATGGATGTTAAAGATGGCCGAATTCGTGTACACTTTGATGGTTGGAGTGATTATTTTGATGAGTGGATACCTGCTGGCAGTCAACGAATGAAGGAAATGACCATTGAAGAAATAGTTGAAGCACAAAAAAAATTGGATGTTATGAAAAAGGATGAGGGATTGATTGAACAAACTGAAAATTTTTATAAATCTCTATTAAAAAGAAATAATAAACAACTAATCAATAATTATGCAAACCAATCTTCTTTGTTTCATTCATCAAAATCTCCATCTCCATCTTCATCTTCATCACCTTCACTATCAAATTATTCCACATATTCTGAAAAGGGGTTGTCAAATACTTCTCTAACATCAATTGAAAGTGACAACACAAATCATAACCACAAAAAATTAAAAACTGCAATTGATAATTCTGATATTCAAAATAAACAAACTGAACAATTCATCACTAAAGATCCTTTAGAGGATTCATTTGATTTTAGTGATTTTTATTTTGCAAGAAACACACGTCGTAGTGCCCGTAATGATGTAATATTAACTGATGGTAATATTCTTGCAAAGTTAAAGACACGTTTCAAATTAGGTAATAAAATTGAAGTTCGTGATAGATTGAGGGAATGGATGCCTGCAACTATAATTGCATCAAAAGGTTGTAGAATCTTAATTCATTATGATGATGTGCCTGCATTTTATGATGAATGGATAGACATCACAAGTGATCGACTACGTGTAAGACAAATAATTAAGGAACCTGATACCTATGCTCATCAAAATTCCTCCAAAGCTATATCATCATCATTACATTTGATCAATAAAAAAGATAGACACCAACGAAAGAGTGGCAAATGTGATATTAATGATGATAATAATCAGGTGTCTCACTTGGAATTTGTTGTAAATGGTGAACGAATTGGGAGTTTTGAAGGTAATTGATAAACTAGTAATGTTTAGGGATGACAATAAAATATTTACTTGTACTTTTTATAATTTTGTAGATAATGATAAATGGTGTATATATTGTAATCAATGTAATGTAATAATTAAACAATTCAGGTAAATATATATTAAAATTGCCAAACTTTGTGTTATTTGTTATTTATAAAAACTATGCTCTCCAACAGATATTACTGCACTTATTGTGAATCACCTTCTGAAGGAAATGATTATAGGAGTTTTGAACTTTGCGCATGGTTAGCATAACTTTTTTAATCAATAAATTTATTAATTATTATTGTAATATCTATTAATTAATAATTTATTTGTTAGGTGCTATGGGCATCAATTTCCAAATTATCATGAACATCCTCGTTGTTCCTTTGCAGTACAGTCAATCATAGATGATGATGCTATTAAAATGTCATCGAAGGGAGAAGTAATTTCAACATTTGATAAGGATACTTGTGACACAACTTACACTGAAGAAAATCTTGAAATATTAAATAGCAACATACCAATTGAGAATGATATGGGATATCTTTACCTTAAAGCTTGGAGCTCACGTAAGATATGTTGTTTCTGTAATGATGATGATCCTAATCAGCTAGGCAACTTCATTGGTCCTTATCCATTTATTGCAAATATTTATACACGACATGGTGAAAGACAAAAAAGATTTTGGTCACATTATGCTTGTGCAAAATATTCACCCGAAGTTTATGTTACCAAGAATAATGAATGGTATAATATCACTATAGCTTGGAAAAGAGGCAGAAGTATGGTATGTTATTAAACATGAGTTGCAGTCTATATATATGATGATGGGTTTTTTTTTTAAAAAAATTATTTAATATATATTTTTAGAAATGTGCAAAATGTAAAGAAAGAGGAGCAACAATTGGATGTTTTGATCCAAAATGTGCAAAAAGTTATCATCTTGCATGTACTGAAAAACCCCTTTCACATTTTGAAATGGGTGTGATTTTTTATTGCCCCACACATGAATCACGTTATGCTCAAACAGGTTTGTAACATTTACTTTTTTTTGTATTTTATTTTTAAACATTTTTTTTTAATCAAAAAAATACATTATGAATAGAATACTATAATGAAGTTTATAGATGTGATGTTTGTTCATGTGAATTACAAGCAGACAAATGGTGGACTTGTAAACCATGCGAATCTAAATTCTTTACTTCATTTGATTTATGTCAACAAGTAAATAAAGAAAGAAATCAAGTTATTATTTCTATATATTTTATATAAATAACTAACTAATTTAGTTAATTAATCAATTAATTAGTGCTATGCAGAAAGGTTTCCAGAAAATCATCAACATTCAAAAGATGATTATGAAGAAACATGTCAGTGAATTTTTAAATTTAATTAATTGATTAATTAATTTACAATTTAATTTAATTTTTGTTTGTTTAGCTGTAAAGAAAATAAAGGATGACCAAATCACAAAACAGGCCACAATAGCTGTTGCTAATCAAAAAGCTCGTGCAGCTGGTAATAATAATATCAATATAAATATATGAATTTAATCTTTTTTTTTTTTAGCTTGATATTGATAATAATAATAACACTTATATTATAGGAATGAAGAAAAAAACCAAGAATTCACTTCCAAGTCGTGGTAAAGGATCAAAAATTCAATGTTCATATTGTTGGGCAGAAGAATCTCCTCGTTGGAGGAAAGGTAAAAAAATATATATTAATTTTGATGATTAATTGAATTTTTAGTAAACAACAAAATTTTTCATAAAAATAGGTTATAATGGAGTATTAATGTGTGAAGAATGTTTTGAATCAGTTCTTATAAACAACAATAATGCAAGTGACATGCAACATTTGGAAACAAATCAATATATAACTAGTAGCGAGGATTATATTTATAGACCATATCTCACTAGAACTATTTGTTCTGACAAAAATTTTGATGATTTGGAATCGCATGCTTTGTATCTTGATAGTTACGAACCAGCTGAAAATCAATTGTTCTCATTAACATTTGATAGTTCTTATTTTGACATTCCTGGTCGTGCACCAAGATGTAAATGAATATATTTTTAAACTTAATTATTTATTACTGTTTTTAATTCAAGAGATTTTTAAATATATATATTTTGAATTTTTGAATTTTAGGGGCAACACATAGTGGTACTGACTATCATGGTACATGGCTTCCACAAACAGTTCGAAGGCAAATATCCAATAATTCTCAATCAATTTGATCCTTGAAGTTTTTTGCTCATACTTTTTAATATTTATGCATTATAGAGCCATACTTCGTTATACTAGAAAGAACGACAAGGTTTTATCAAATTTCCTTGGAAGAGGTTGAATAAATTAAATTTTTTCATTCCTTGTTTTATTTTTATTTTACATATACTAATGATTTATGTTTTATATATTAGGGACTGATGCCATTGAATGTTTTCTACTTTGCAGAAAGTATGTTATAATAATAATTAATTAATTTTATTAATAATAACCATTTGTCTATAATAATAATTAATTTGAATTTTATTATTATTTCTTTTTTTCAAAAAGACTTGTTGGTGTTGATATTAATCCTGTAAGTTATTAACATTAGTTAGCAAATAATAGTAGTGGTGTTAGTAATTTTAGTAATAGCAGCAATGATCTGCTTTGTGTTCAATGATTGATTTTTTTATTAGGCTGCTGTTGCATTGTCACAATGCAATTGTTCATTTGCAATTCCACCAAATCGAGGGATCACAGCTGAACATCGACCAATTATTCTTCAAGCAGATTCAAGGAGTTTAAAAGGTGCAATATTTGAGGATGAATCATTTGATCATATATTAAGTCATCCTCCATATAAAAATTGGTAAGTTAAAAACTTGAATAAAATAAAAAGTAAAACTTTTTTTTTAGTTTTAAATTTATATAATAAAATTTTTTCAGTGTTGAATATTCAACACATATAGATGGAGATTTATCAAGGTTTGCAAATTGCAAAGAATTTGCAATAGAGATGAGTAAAGTTATTGAGGAATCATGGAGGTAGAAGCTAAAATGTATTTATTTTATTTTAAAAAATTATAAATTTATTTAAAAAAAATATTAAATAATAATAGATTATTAAAGTTTGGAAAACGGATCACACTTGGAATTGGTGATAACAGAGAACATTGTTTTTATGTTCCTGTCAGCTTTAATTTATTTAGACAATATATAAATCAAGGATTTGAAATAGAAGAATTGGTAATAAATTATTTTTTTTTTTATAAATGATTATTTTTAATTATACTAATTTTTAATTAATTATTAATAGGTTGCAAAACGTCAAAGATATTGTCAAGCATTTGGACTAGGAACATATCTTTGTGTTCAATATGATTTCTTAATGTTTACACATGAATTTATTGCAACCTTTAGAAAAACAGATAAAGAAAAGAACGACAAAATGTTATTAATACCTGGTATTTTATTTATTCAATTAATTACTTGATTGAATTACTTGAATAAGTTATTTATTAAATTTTTATTTTATAATCTTATTATTTTAAGATTATTCTATATTGGAAAATCAAGTAACCTATGAAAGAAATTTAAGAGAAATCCCTACTTTGCCTATTGCACGTAAAAGTGTTGTTATGGGTACAACTTGGACATTTAAACCATCAGATAAATACAACTTTGTACAACTTTGCACTTCAAGGATGGTATGTATATATATTATTAGTAATTGTTTTTGAATTATTTATTGAATGTTTATAAAATATTGTTATTATTAGGTTGAAAGATTTGGCAGAGATTGTGCAAATTATGAAGAAATTAATATAAAATTTAATAATAAGTTAGAGGTAATATTTTATATATAAACTTTTGTGTGATTATTGTTAAATAATAGCCATTATCATTCCTAATTATAATGATAAATTGTTTCAATAGGGAAATTATAATAATGATGTTATTGATGATAATTTGGAATCAATGATTAATGGTAATAAAAATGCATGATTATAGTAGAGATTATTGTCAGATGTAAATAAATTCATATTTATGATTAATTAATTTAAAATCTAGACCAAGATAAAGATGATAATGAAATTCCTGAATATGAAAAAATCAGACAAAAAAGGATTCAAGAAAATCATAAAATGCTTCTTGCTTTGGTAAAGGCCTTTTGATAGAACATTAAATAAATTGAAAGTTATATTTATTTATTATTAGTTATTTACTTAATCATTTATCATTTCAAAAAAAAAAAAATAGGGATTAAAATGCGATCTTGGTGAAGAATCTGATGATATATCACATTTAGGAAAACTTTTAAATAGTACACCAAGACCAACACCGACACCAACAGCACTAATAGTAATACCACACATACCAAATACATCACTACACCCTAGAAATATTCCCATCTATCGTACTACAATAATGAAATTAGCAATTGAAGCATACAATACATTACCACCTTCAGGATTTTTAGTGATAGGTGCTCAGGATATTAGAACACCAGATGATGATAAATTGTGGCCTCTTAGTATGTTGTTAATGGAAGATGTTCATAATGTTGTTAGTATGGATAAATTACCATTGAAAGAGCTAGTTGTTACTGTGCCAGAAGGTTTTGCTAAAGATAAAAAAAAAATTGCATCTTTTGATGAGTACAAAGAGGAAAAATGCATCCTTGGAGATGAAATTGATGACAACATTAATGGCGATGAAAATAATAACATTGAGAATAATGACAACATTAATAAAGGCAAAAAGAAAACATCGCAATTGCCCATTGTTCATGTAAGAATATTGTTCTTATATTTGATATATATGTGTGTCCTTTTGAAACAACAGCTTGGCACTAATTCATTTCTTTCTTTTTTTCTCAAAATTAGGCATGTTATCTTATATTTATGAAACTTAAATAATTCCTTTTTTTTTTTTTTGATTTCTTATGATTTTTTGGTGAGGTCTTTTGAAAATTTGGAATTCTTTAATATTTTAATTATAATTCTTTGAACTTATTTTGAGATTAATTAAAACTTATTACTACTATTAATTAATATAAATAAATAAAAAATAAAGAGAAATAAATATAAAATTACAATTATATAACTTATATGAAATATTTTATTATTTACATATATATAAATTTATATACACCGTTCGAATATATATAAAAAAATTATTTATTTTATTTCTCTTAAAATCTATGGAATTAGAAAATTTAATTAATAAATAAATTTGTGAAATTATCTTAAAAAAAAAAAAAGGAAAATAGAGCTTGATAGTTACCACAGGAACACTTGTACATGGAATCATTCCAACTTCAGTGATAACAGTTGTTATGTATTTTGAAGGTGTCAAATCATACAAGATGTTTAATAATTTTAAATCTGGTTTTTGAAGCCAATCACTCAATGAACCAGATTTTGGTATTGAACAGGTGGAAGTATTAATTAATTCATCAGGGCGTGCTAAATAAACGAACAAACAATAATGATTAATCAATTCATTCACATCCAACTGATTAATTAATAAATTAAGTTAAATTTTTTTAGTTTAATAATACCTTGTTCATTAGTCACAAAAGAATCTAATTGTACTTTGTCAGTGAATTTATAGGTTTCACAACATACGATAACTGGAATATCTTTTCCTTTAGCCATCATTGCTACCAATGCAGTGCCAACACGCGAGTAAAGTGTTCCGTTTGACATGAAAGCATTTGCACCAAGAAAAACTTTTGAAACATCTTTTAATACAAATCCAAGTGCATGAAGAAAAGCATATGTGCAATTGATTCCCACGTTTACCAATTTATTTAAAAGTCTTTTACCTGAAAGTAAATAAACAAAGAAGTTATGACAAAATATACATATATAATTAATTAATTTAATTATTAATTATTATTTATCACCTTCTAATCTTGGTCGAGAATCTATAATGATGACTCTAAACTTTATTCCTTTTGCTTTTGCTTCTAATAACAATGCTTGTACAACTGATGACCTAATTAAATAATATTAATGTAAACATCACTCTATATGCATATATATATACACATATATAAATAGAATACCTTGCATATGTTAATATTACATCACCATCTTGAATTTTTTGTAACCCATATTCAACAATCATTGTATCAGCGACTGTTATACGATCGCGAATAAAGTTATCGATTTTGTCACATAATGCAATTTTTGCCTACATAATAATATATAATTGATTGACTAATGAAATTCAAATCAATCAAATGACCAATCAACCATAAAAATAAATAAATATTTATTTATTTACTTCGTCATCTGATATATCAATATTCATTGTTGAGATTTCCAACTTAAGGTATCTAATAGCGTTGCCCATACCCACTGATAATGGACGTGCTTTCACCAAATATTTTATTTGAGGTGAAAGATGTGTAGGTAGATGACGTGATAAGGTGTAACCTGCTGGTGTCTTATAATCTTGAATTACCTGAAAAAAATAAAATGATAGGCTATTCTATTAAAAAAGAGTACACGGGAGATATAATTTTTTTAAATTTAAATTTTATTTTACTTTTTTAAAAGCAGTAAGTGTTGCAATGCAACGAGCATTAGCTCCACATATTTTGAATTCGGCAAATTGTAAACCAAGAACTAATACAGCTGGATGAACTTCTTTAGGCGCCAAACTTGTATTTAGTTCTTTAGGAATTTCTAAATGCGAGAATAAGGCTACCTCTTTACTACTACTTTCAGTATTAGCCCTTTTCATTTTTTATTATTTTTTAATTGATCTAAAAAAGAATGATTTTTTAAATAATAATTGATCGACGTTGTGCATAAATAGTAAATCTTTTGACGATATCATTGAAAATTTAGATCAACAATTTATCACTTAGCTCACCATTAACGCATATCAATTGGCAGTGTTATTAGTAATCATTTTGTTTTAAGGACAGGTGTAAGTTGTTTTCACGTAAAATAAATAATAAAAAGTTCATTTTCCCGTTTACACAGGACCGGATTGGTTTCAGTTTCGATTACTAATGCACGGAATGAAAGTAGAAATCCATTTTAAAAAATCAAGGATGTGATGAAAATAAACAGTAACCATAACTTCAATCAACGCCAAACTTCTATTTGGCGAAGTTTCAGATGTCCAGTGGGATCAAGAGGGAAAAGTTTTCTTGGTAAAATGAAATTGGGTGTCATGATGATGAAAGGAAGTTGGTGATATGTGGTTGTACTCAACATGGCCCGTTTATCTTGATATGTAGTCTTATCGTCTGGTCCTTGTTAACTGTGTGTTCTTTTGACACAGGATTTGAAGTGAATATTTCGCTGTGAAGCCAAGAGTAAACTATTTATTTTTTAAAAAAACTATGCGACTTTGTACAAATAACTTGCCAGTGGACCACAAATCATTTAAAATAGAATATATTGGCTTCCAACATCTATATTTAATGACTTGTCACAATATGCTAGTACCCTTTAGTGTTGATCGCCAAAACTATTTTGAAGAGATGAAAGTCAAAACTAAAATTAAAAGTTATATGTCAAAACTAAATCAAAAGTCAATAGTCAAAAATCAAAACTAGTTTCGACTTATGGCGAAACCTTTTGATTTTCGCACGGTTGCGAAACTCTCGAGTTTTGGAAACACTAGTACCCTTTGTATTTGGTAGTGATCGCAGGATTAATATAAATTATATTATCCATTTATTAAATGAATTATTTTATTTTATATTTGAGTCTTTTCGAATTAAGAACTATTCGAGTTTCTATTTCCTTTTTTCCAAGCTGACTTGAAGAAAAACTCCATTTGCTAGATAATTGTCGATAAATTTCTCGAAAATTTGATCCGGATTTTATAAATTACAAACATAATCTTTTTGCCAAATAAATTCTAATAAACAGTCGTTGGTCTGATCATGTTTAATACTAAGGAAACGAACAATTTGACTTTCCAGAAGAAAGTATCGGATGCACTTTTTTAATAAATTTGCAAAAGACTACATATAAAAATAAATCAAAAGCATCACTTTGTAGCTCATTCTTGTGAATATATATATAAAGCTTATTTCTCTGCCATCAATAAATATATAAAAATTAAAACACATAATAATCATATCTACAATTTGCATGTGATTAATATGGGTCTTAAATAAACATTCATTTTTAATAAATTTTCAATTATTTTATCATTAGCTAATTGAAACCATGAAGTTATAAAGCATCAAAAGAATTAATTATGTAAAGCAATTGCCGCAATAGCAAAGTGTCAGGAATCAAGAAATTGGGTATTTGCTTTCTTTGAATAAATTCTTCGAAAAGGTTTAAACTTGAAACGTCAGCTTTGATGTAGTAATTACATTCATGAAAGGACCGGGAAAACCCTATTGTATGTCACCATCAAATCAAATCAAACGATCAAACATACAGATTTGAAACTTGCTTTTTATTTTTTCTAGAAAAAGATTTGTCTGAGGAAAAAGTTGTTTTGCAACATCTTCGGGTCATTAAAACTTGCAGTGCTATTATAATATAATCAATATATTTTAAGTCACAAACACCCGACACATATTCATGTTTTCGTTCTCCAATTCTTCCAGAAATATATTATTTGGGGTTAATTTTTGACAAACATGCTTCAATGTCCACAAAAAATGCGATTTTTTCTCTTTGAATGACTTTTAAATTTGCAACTTGATAAACGAATCAGTGTGGTCGGTGACCTTTTCTTCTTCCTTATTAATGCGAATATAAGGTGGGCGGTGGATATTTTTAAATTTAAAGTATATACTATTACTATCAAATCATAGTGTTGGGGTGACATTCATATAATAGAGTTTTTCTGGTCTTTTCATGAATTTCATGAATGTAATCTTTTCTTTTCCAAAAAAATTTGGACAAAGTTTTATTTCTTCAACCATTAATTTAATAAACACAGTAGAGAAGTCAAATTTTGCATATATATTTACAAGAACCTAAGCTACAAACGACGTTTATTGGGTTTTTTGTATGTGGTCTGTTGCGGAATTATTAAAGTGCATCCAGATAATCATTTGGTGAATAATTGTATTCATTTGATCATTAAATTAATTATCCAGTGAATGTTTATTCTTGGTGGCATAACAATGATATCATAAATCAAAATCAAAATCAAAATCAAAATCAAAATCAAAATCTCAAATACCAGAGCTATCAAATGATATAAAAATCACAGATATTTATTTAGTATATTAATGCAAAAGAACTTTTGGTAATCAAGTGTATATTAATGCTATAACAGAAAGAACAATTGCCACATGACAAGGAATATTATATAATTACCTATTGCTACATAGTGTAGAAGACATAATAGATTTCACTCACATTTGGATTTCATTCCACTATAAGACAAAAAAAAAAAAAAGGGGGTCAATACAAAAACAAATATCCTTGGCTATTGTTAACAACAGAATATATTCTTCATGCCAAATAATACTCCATGTTTATTAATGAATACCCAGCTCTCTTCATCTTGTGTTTCAAAAAAAAATAGTAATGGGTTTTCTTTGTACAACACTATGTGCTCTTAAAATAATAATTTTTTTTGTTCTTGTGTTGATTATTCATCCCTAGCAGAAGACAAAGGCGGATCTATTGTTAGAGCAAAAGAAATTCAAGAGCCTTTCTAGCTGTTATTAAAAAAAAAATGGTGGTGATGATCATTGGTTGGCAACTTGTCATTCTAGTTGTTAGGTAAAAATTACATATATTATAGAGAATTGTAATAGTATTTCTGTGATTGAGTGGAAATATATTAAATTTTATTTTATAATTCATAAATTTCACATTCTTCCAAAATTTGACGCCTATTTTTAACATTCAAATCCTCTTATATGAAGAAAATTCATCAAAAAAGTAATGACAATATGGTTCATCATTCAGCCAATTATTATATAAATTTAAATCCTCAAAGTTTAGGATTATTCCATCACCAGTGCGTCTGCTTCCATGATGAAATATTGCATGACTAGGTTCTTTGACTCTAATTAATATTGAATTGTTGAGTTGATTTTATCAATTTTAAAAATAAAATTTTTGTCTGTTTCAATATAATATTCTTCATCTGCAGATTTTCTTATACATTTAACAAACTGGGTTATATCAGGGTTGACAAATGTGCCATCCATTGATGGTCTATTGGTGGTCCATTGGGTCCATTAGTGTAACACTTTAACCATATTTAGTATTTTATTAATGGCAATGGACCAGTCCAAAATCAATATGTTCTCAATGGACCAGTCAATTGTCCAACCCTGGGTTATATCCACCAACCAATTCATCTGTTTTTCCAATCTTCATGATAACCAAAGTTTGTTTAATGTCAAAACATTTATTTTTCAAAAACCCGATTTTGCAAATCCATTTATCAATATCAATGGTTTATTGTACAAATACCTTTAAAAACAAGAAAATAAGACAAATTGGCAGATAATTCAATTATTTAAGGATTTAAAACAAATAAAACTTAAAAGAATTTCAAATATTTTTTTTGAGGAAATATTTTCTTTGTCAAATAAACTAGAGTGATGAGTGGCAATAGCCACCATTCTTTTGATAAACACTTACTTGACTGAACCTTTAATATTATCTTGTTGTTTTCTCTTTTGTTTGATTCAGTCACTTTTTTTTAAAAAAAAGAAAAAAATTTATTCAATCAACAAATACATGCACATTAATTATTTATGTATGGGGGAGGGGTTGACAGACAAAACTAGTGTCACAACCCAGATTGTTAACAGATTAACGTTATGAACCTGTTAATATTAATAATATTTGAACCCATTAAGATTCCATTAGGATTTTTTCATCCAGATGGGTAACAGGTTAATCCGTTAAAATAGCAAAATATTATTGGATAATATTAGTAATATGGTATTAATAAACCAAAAACATTTATTTGTCAGAATTTAAAATAATAAAATATTTATTTATTTAATTTGGAGATGGATTGTGATTTTTTTCTTTTTAAGAACATAATTTTTTTAAAAAAATCATGTTTCATCCATGTTCTTTTAAATTTTTCCCCTCCCTATACAGTCTAAGATCTCTATACTGAACCCTTTTCCCTATATGTAATTTTTCTGCTTTGTTAGAGAAATTAATTACAAAAAAATGAATCAGGGATAAAAGGGATGTTTGTTATAGAGAGGCTCAGTAAAGATGGCTTAGACTGTATTGTTTTATATTGTGAAATGATCTTCACAAAATTTAGCCAATGAAATCAAACTTTCAACATATTTAAGATTTTCTGATTCATAGATGGATCATCAAAAAATCTTTTTCATCTTCTTTTTCAAAATTAATGAAAAAATTTATTATTTAAATGAACAAGATAATAAAAAAAAAAGTAAATCAAAAACAATGCAGAAAATTCCCTTGTAAGTATGAGTAAAAGAAAGATTTAAAACTTGGAATAATTATTTTAAAGAGATTTTCTAGTTTATCTAATAACTTGAATTCTATTATTTTCTACCTTTTTTATTCAATGCTAAAAGGTAATAAGTAAATTGTACTCTTATCAAATGAGTAGAATTGATTGTTGATGATCCCCAACTCAGATGGTGAAAAGATGTTTTTAGAAGATTTTTCATCTTGCATACAGTTACAAAGGAAAAATAGCAATAAAAATTTTTTTTCTGGTAATTTTCAAGATTTTTTTTAAAGAAAAGTTTGTGGTTAAATCTAATTTTTGAATTCAAATTTAAAACTATTTTTCAAAAA